GCCAGGAGTGTGATGGACATTGGGACAAAAAGACCATTTTGGCTGCTGGAGGACAGGGCACTCTTGATCTGGAAGCCGACTGCAAAGGCAGCACATAGTCTTAGAGTCCCCTTCTGTGCACATCGTTGAACGAAGCAACTCTTTGCACATCTTCAATTGGAATCGTGCCACTGATGATAAACAAAATGAGAGCCAAAAAAAAAAAAAAATCTAGTAGGAAACAGTTGTCAATTCAATTTGCAGTTTATTTAATTGACTTTTGAGTCAGGTAGAGGCATGTGCCAACCCCTCTGGTTTCTCTGCCTGGTGTGGCATGTGGGCAGCAGGCCGCTTTCATCCCTCAGCTTCCCTGGAGTGTTGGGACTTCGCTGTGCAGTTTTCGAAGGCTGGGGGACTGAATGTTCTGCTTCCTCAAGACTTCATTTTCTCACCTCGTCTCTTGCATGGTCTCGTGGTACCAGGGACAAGGTTTTCTGTTTTAACTCCAGAGTCAGCTGGGCTGTGGCGTTGGCAGCCAAGCGAAGATGCTGAAGGAGGAGCTAGAATCTTGATGTAATGAGACTCTCCGAGGAATTCCAGAAGGAAGCAGTCAGGGTCTGGAACCCAAAGGACAGCATTTTCTACCTACTTATTAATTTCAACAGCTTCCCAGTTCTATTTACAGTTATAGAAAAAAAAGGTTTCCCAGATTTTTTGAACTCTTTTACTGTAAATATTTGTTACAATGAACATGGGAATTACCTTGTTTTGTGTCATCATCAGCAAACTTGCAATTTTGTGTGTCACTTCCCTCCTCCTTGGAGGCTAGTGTAGCAGTTGCCGCTACACTGTAACACTTTAAATTTCCCCGACTGTATTACTTTGTGAGATGAAGGTAATTATGCTGCTTACTGTCCAGGTACAACCTCTTCTTCCCTTCAGAGAGAGATTTGTGTTGTTTCGCAGGTTCTGGTTCCACATGTCATTGCTATGTTGTTTGGTTGGTTTTATCTTATTAGGCAAAATGTAAAAGGTTCTGTGCTGTGAGGACTTCATTTTCACCAGTTTTGGCATCTAAGGATAAACTTTGTTTGATTTATCCATCAACACCCACAGGTTCATTATCAGTTTTGGAATCTGTAATGTTCTAGGCTGCAGATATTTACTATGTAAACATCAAGGAGCTGATGTCAGTAGCTACCAACAGCAGCACCTCTGGCTGCCTTGGGAATGGTTAAGTTTCAGGCTTAACAGGCCATTGTGACCATAGATTCAGGCTTGTGTACAAAGAAATTTCAGAGAATGAATGCCCTGTCTAAAGATCTGTTCACCATCTGATATAAAATGAGCTTGGGGCAAGCATGAGTTGACTTATGGAATGTGTGATATGTAATTAAGCCAACACAGCCCCTTACAAGAGGCTGCTTCCCACTGCTCAGATTGATATATTTTTTTTTTTTTTTTTGGTTTTTTGAGACAGGGTTTCTCTGTATAGTCCTGGCTGTCCTGGAACTCACTCTGTAGACCAGGCTGGCCTCGAACTCAGAAATCCGCCTGCCTCTGCCTCCCGAGTGTTGGGATTAAAGGCGTGCGCCACCACCGCCCGGCCGGATTGATGTTTTCTAGTGGGAAGAAGTGCTCCAGGAGTATACATGCCATCAGGGTTCTGGATAATTTATCACAGTTACATTTTGAGACTTGTATGATGATTGAAAGGGGAAGGAACAAGATAATTATCTATTGCTACAACTGTGTGAGGGATGATGATTGTTACATTAGATACTAATTTGGGGGTCATGGAAGTGGCTCAGTTGGTAGAGGTGCTTGCCGTCAAGCCTGCTGACCTGAGTTCGATCCCCAGGACTCAATAGAGAGAATTGACACCTTCAAGTTGTTCTATGACACACATACACACAAACAAATGTAATAAAGGATTTTAAATTCACGTCTTTCTTTTATGTAACTGCTCTTGAGTAGTTACATATCCCACATCTGGGGAAGCTGTAACCTTGAAGGCAGTCAATTTTGTGTCTTGTTCAAAGATGGAAGCAGAAACTGAATGATCCTAATTTTGCCATGTGGTCATTACTGGGTTTATCATTTAGGTTTTGTGAAGGACATAATCTGGTTTCATTGTGACTTTTGTTTTTAGGGAAGCAAAGTAGACTCCCCATATTCTAATAACCTCAGTTCTTCCCTAACTTAAAGCCATGTTGAGGGGCTCCACTCCCAGTTCCTGGGTCAAAGTGAATTCACCCCTAAGTTGGAGCACTGGAATCTGTTATTTGCAAACAATGTTATCATTTAGAAAGATGTGCACTACCTACGTTCTGTCTGTTAAAAAAAACTATCCACCATAGAAAGTCGCCTTGACAAAACAGTTCTGGTTTGATCAGTCATTCTTTAATATATATGCAAGGTGGATCCTGGCTGAGCCAACATTGCACTGTGGATATGTATCTGTGTTTACGCGCTATTAGACAGAAGGCCCTGTACATATGAGTGTTGCTCTCAAGCAATATTTACAAAACATGCAAACTTCTGTATCTGGAAAAATAAAAACAGGTTCTTGTTGCTATGTGTCAGTCATATTACTGAAGTATAAAAAGTTGTGGTTTTTGTTGGTTTAGTTTGGAGCCAATGTCTCATTATGTAGCCCTGACTGCCCTACAACTCTCAGAAATGCTCTGCTTCTGGTCCAAGTGCTCGTATGGAAGCCATGTGCCACCACACCCGGATGGTCTTTAGATGAAGCCTTGCAGTGCAGCCCAGGCTGGCCTTATGCAACCCAAAGTGGAGCTTTAAACCTGAAAGGGTCCTGTTTGGGTCTCTTTGCATGTGCCACCATAACCCAGCAAGAATCAAATGCTTTATGCTTTATGATGAGTTTGAGGCCAGCCTGGTCTACAGAGCAAGTTCAGAGATAGCCAGGGCTACACAGAGAAACCCTGTCTTTAAAAACAAAATGCCCATACCAGCTTCTACCCAAGTGTGGCGCATGCATTGCAGATTTACTGCATTTTTGGTTGCTGGATGCAATGCAAGACAGGACAGGCTGTTTTCCCTAGACTGAGATTTACCTACTGCTTTCAACAAAGCCAAGCTTCCTATAGACCAGAACTATCCCTCAATTAACACCCATGCCTGGGCAGAATCCTCAAAACTAGTTGTCTTCATTTCATTGCAAAATTCCTTCCTTTGGTAGAGTTGAGGGTTATCAAAAGGTATTAAAACAGGAGCCCTGGACATATTAAAATGAGCACTCCTGGTAAGTTCATATTACTCAATGCACTCCAAGCTCATTCGGGCGAAAACCACTGTGCAGGTGGAGCATTAGGGATTGAGAGTGGTTTAAAAATGGGGTGGGGAGGGAGGGCTTGCTCACAAGTGTGCTTCACTCCAGGGAGTTGACATCTTAGAGGAATTTCATGAGAGCTAATAAAGGAGAGGAATAGGTGTTGGTTAAGGAATTGGAGGTGTCTTTTCATGGTATACATTCCAGTCATAGCCACTGGTTTGTTTTTAAGGTCATGAACTGTAAATAATTTTAGGGAAAACATTATTCAAATGGTCAACATGTATACATAGAAAGCCAGAAGACCCTGACCCATAGGTTAAGGCAAGGAAGCAAATGCCAAGCCTCCTCGTCCCTTTCACACCGTATACTGTGTTTGTGTATGTGTGTCACATGTGAAAGTAGAGGTAATAAGAGAGAAGTGAACAAGTGGAAATGATGTAAAATACACATGAGCTTCTCAAAAAGAAAACTGGAAAAAGCTGTTCTCAAAAACACTTCCCAGGTAACCGTTAGAAGCAGAGGTTATTTCCAACAAAATTACTGGGAAAACAAAGTGTTGTCCAGTTGTATTGATTCCAATTACTCATCTAAGCCGCCGCCGATATATAGCGTTTCATTTTCCTTGGTGATATCAGTTCTGTTGTTGCTTGTGTTTGTTGTTTTTGAGAGGGTCTACAGAGCTCTGGCTGAAACTATGTAGACTAGAGATCCTCCTGCCTCTGTTTCCGGAGTGCTGAGATTTAAAATATGAGCCATAACACCCAGCTAAATGAGCATTTAATAGGGCCAGTTATTTTACTGCTCAGCTTCCAAATCACTATGTACTGCTATCTACTGAAGCTCGTATACTAGTGTGAGGCAGAGGCTAGAATGGAACACTAGACAACTGAAAACGTAGTCAACATGGCCTCTTGCAAAACAAAACTCATGCGAGTTTAGAAAAACTGGATGTTGCCAGATTAGTCAACAAGGTGAGAAGGGAGATTTCCCGCCTAAGGGCACACAGCTCCAAGCATCCCCAGGGATCCAGGACAGCTAATAATTTTTACTCTTAAGGGCCATCAGCTGGAAAGGTGGGCAACAAGTTCGTAAAATAAGCCCAATAAATAAAGGACGAACTCAAGACACACCAGACACAGGAGCTGTCAAAATTCAACTTTTATTAACTCGGGGTAGGGCGTCAGTCCAGGGGTCCACGGGCTCCGTCGCTTAGCCGGTGATGCGCACGTCCGCACGGCGCCGCAGCCGCCGGGCCCGGGCCGCCTCGGGTAGGATGGCCTGCAGCTGCTCCTGCACCAGCATCTCCACAATCTGCTCCTTGGTGCGGATGTCGGGCCGCAGCCACTGGCGGGACAGTTCCCGGAGCTGCCGGAAAGCTTCCCGGGGACCGGCCGCATCCTGGTAGCGAAACTGCCGGAAGCGCTGGCGAAAGGTCTCGGGGCCCGGGCGAGAGGTGCCCGGGCGCGGGGCGGCGTCAGCCTGCGGCGCCGCATTCAAAGCTGCGGGCGCGCCGGGGAGCTCCAGGACCGGGGAGCTCAAAGAGTCGGACTCCGGGGCCTCACAGTCGCCGGCTCCTTCCTGCTGCTCGGGCGGCGCTGCGGGGCTTTGGGCCGCCGGGCTAGGCTGCGGCGCCGCCATGACTACGGCTGTCGGCGTCACCCTTTGTTTCGTAGTTACGCGCTTCTTCTGCGTCTGCACGGGAATGAGGTAAGAGAAACCCGCTGAAGGGCAGAGCCCGCGCACCCTGGCGGGACGCGGACTCAGGACAGGCCGCGGGCGAGCCGACCTTACCTCTACCAGCGAAGCTCCTGGCGGCCGGAAATGGACGGTTCTAAGAATCCGGAAGCCGCGTCCCGTACGAGTCACGTGAAGTTTGATCAGGAAAAGTCCCTTGGGCGGTCCATAGAGTCCAGCTCTTCTGACAGTAAGGATGGCAGCCTGTTGGGGGCGAAGCCTCAGACCGAGAACATGGAAACAGAGAAGATGGATTCGGAGTCGGAGTCCAGATCGGAGGAAGAAGAGAAGGAGAGGCAGGCCCTATTGGATAAGATAAAGGCGGAGACACCCAAGGTGGAGACACCTAAGCCGAAGGACCGCCCTGGCTTGCAGGTGATTTGCGCCTGTTAGAGCAGATGCTGGCCCCTACTCGACCAGGATCTGGGGGTAGCGCTGACAGTACTGGGTAAAGGAGGGTGATGGTTCGACAGGGGCTTGTCTGAGCTTGGGCGGATGACCTGGGTGGGACAGCGGGACAGGGGCTCCAACTACTTTAAAAAGACCTCTCAAGCCCATAATCTTGGATCTAGAGGCCACCCCTGAGCTATAAAGTGAGCTGAGGCTCTCAATAAATACACATACCCCCGTCTCCTGCATAAGTGCAATAGATCTCACTTTATCTTGAGGATGACGTAGTATTTGGGGCAAGATTCTTTATAGACTTTCCTGGCCCAAAACAAATGCTCAGGGCTTCTTTGTCATTATTTTTGTTTGTCCTCGAAAACCAAGAGAAAGTTATTCGGTGGATACTACTTCTTTAAGATTAATAAGTGTACCGGACAGTGGTGGCGCACGCCTTTAATCCCAGCATTTGGGAGGCAGAGGCAGGCGGATTTCTGAGTTCGAGGCCAGCCAGGGCTACACAAAGAAACCCTGTCTCAAAAAAACAAAACAAAACAACAACAACAAAAAAACCCAAGATTAATAAGTGGACTGTAATTAACGATGTCCCATATGGTGGCCATTAGCTTCATGTATTTACTGAACTTTTGAAATGTAAATACTCCGAAATTGAAATGTATTATAGTGTAGAATACACATGGGTCTGTGTAGGAAAAGAAAAAGGTTTTATATTTATTACATATTTGAATGTTATGTTATTTTGTATATATAGGGTCAAATAAACTATATTAAATTTTACCTGTGTCTTTACTTTTAAAATCCAACTACTATGAAAATTTTAAATTACAGTCTATAGTATATTTTTGTTGATTGGCAGCTGTATAGAGTGTTGGAATCAGCTGTCTGTCTAGAAACATCTTTTCAGGGTTTCTTTGCTTTAGCAACCCTACAGTAATGGTACCGACCTAATAGTTGTCAAGTGGAGTGAATAAAGCTCTGGCAAAGACACAGCTTTAACAAGTGTTTTCAGAGCTAGGGAGATGGTGAGCCGGGTAAGGGTGCTTGGACCCTCAGATGATGGGATGAGATGAATGTGGTAGCCAAGTTGTGTGAATACATGGCTCTGTCAGCCCCAGCATTCCAAGATGGCTAATTTCATTCGGCTTCTCTTGGCTTCTGACTGAATTGCTCTGCTTGGCCTCATACTAACTTTGGCAATCTGTTGTAATCTTCTGGCTCGTTCTGTCTTCATCTGTGTCTACTAGTTCTCTCTGCAACCTGTGTCTGTAAAACTGTCCCAGTTAAACTGCCAGACACACACACACCACCACCGCACCTTTTTTGCCTTCTGTCTGCTCTTAGGTAGTCTCTTTTTCCAGTGCTGTTCTCCTGTGAATTGGGCATAATCGATCTCTGACTCATTTTGTCAAAACTTTCTCTGATTCAACACTTTGTCTGCCCCTTAATTAGATGTTGCTTTCGGACCAACTCACTTCCTTCTTTTTTTTTTTTTAAGATTTATTTATTTATTTATTTATTATATATGAGTACACTGTAGCTGTCTTCAGACACACCAGAAGAAGGCCTCAGCTCCCATTATAGATGGCTGTGAGCCACCATGTGGTTGCTGGGATTTGAACTCAGGACCTCTGGAAGTGCAGTCAGTGCTCTTAACCACTGAGCCATCTCTCCAGCCCCTCACTTCCTTCTATAAACTAACCTTTCTTACCTTCATTGTTAGAGATTAAGGTGTGTACTAAGGGATTAAAGGTGTGTCATTCCAGCTGGATCACACAGACCTAGAAAGTCTTTGGATGTGAGCCCTTGCCAGAGCAGCCATGTTGGATTAAAATTCTTGCACATGTGCTCTGTGCAAGCATAAGGACCTGAATCTCCCTGCACCCATGTAAAAACCAGGCATGGCCGAGCTTGCCTACAACCTTAATGTTGGGCCCAGGGAGAGCTCAAGAACTGTGTGGTTAGCCTATCCAATATGTACTTCTAAATTCAACTTGAGACCCTATCTCAAGGCAATGAGGAGAGCAGTAGACTGAAGCACCCTCTTGTGGCCTCACACACCCGTACACTCACAGGGATAAAGGACACAGACACATGGGTTCATCAGGTCAGGTACATTGACTTCAGCCTCTGATCTATAGTTTTAATCTATATTTTAAAAATCTGGATGCAAGAACTTGAATAGAAAAAGTAAAAAGGAAAGAACATGACTGTGGCTCCTGGGCACAGTGGAGGGGGTTTATTGTAGATAATGGAGAAAGCATAGCCAGAGTCAGAGACCCCTGGGAGAGTCCAGAGGGGACAAGATCCTGAGACGTGTTGAGGAGAGAGAGGAACCAGGTGCCACAGCCAGGAAGCCCAAATGTACAAAGCCTGCAGGTAACCAAAATGGCTGGATGATACAGGAAAGAGCATCTGGGGGGAAAGGCAGCTCAGCCACTGGGCTGTAGAGTTCAGGGTAGGGGGTAGGGTATACAAGCCGGGAGGATTCTAATAGGCAGGGGCTGAGGGATGCTGGGAGAACCTGGTGGCCAGGTTCACTTTGACATGTTAAATAGGCAACTTGGCCATCTGGCCCAGGGTTTGAAACATAACACAACTAACCTCATGGAAGATTCTGTGAAAATTCAGATGGTGCCAGCAAAAATCTGACATCCCCTGGCAGATGGTATATTCTGTTTGACAGATAACTCACAAATAAGTTTTGTTATCTCCATTTTCCAGAAAGTGACAGGGGTTCTGGCTTAGTTAGGGTTTCTGTAGCTGTGACAAAATACCAAGACCAAAAAGCAACTTGGAGAAGAAAGGATTTATTCGACTTACACTTCCACATAGCTGTTCATCACCAAAGTCAAGACAGGAGTTCAAACAGGGCAGGAACCTGGAGGCAGGAGCTGATGGGGATTTGTGGTGGGGTGCTGCTTACTGCCTTGTTTTCCCTGGCGTGCTCACCCTACTTTCTTATGGAACCCAGGACCACCTGGACAAGGATAGCACCACCCACAGTGGACTGGACCCTCCCCCATTGATCACTATTTGAGGAAATGCCTTACAGCTGGATCTCATGGAGGCATTTGTTGCGCCCGCCTCGCCACCAAGGATGACGCAACAACAGGATCCTTCCTCACGCACTGTATTGGGGAACACACCATTGATTGTAAAGCGAAAGACCCCAAGCCCGAAATGGGTGCTGCTTAAATAGTTATCACAACTGTGTATAAGTGTCTTATTGGTGCTTCTTGCAGAACTTCATTTACATATTGCTCGGGAGGGTGAGGAGCAGGTGTTTACGACCCTGAATGCAGTTGTTTTTCACCTCAAACAGAGGGAACAAGCGCCATCTTCTAATGGCGGCTCCTTACAGGCATTTCCTCAATTGAAGCTCCTTTCTTTCTGAAGACTCTAGTGTCAGATTGACACAAAACCAACCAGTTGAGGCACCGTATGATAGGATTTTAGTCATCCTCATTGTCCCTTTGAATTCTATGCACAGCTTGTGTAACAGCCACGTAACAACCATTAGGACAAATTTCTGATGACCTCTTGCCCATCCTTGGAGGATCTCTCCCCTAGAGGTATGAAAGATGACCTTGAAAGTCACCACAGGAACTTTTCAGAGAGGAACCAGGTGCCGCAGCCAGGAAGCCCAAAGGTACAAAGCCTGCAGGTAGCCAAAATGGCTGGATGATACAGGAAAGAGCCTCCATGTATACATGGAGGGGTGTTTTTTGTAGCTGCTGACCTGTAAGCTTGGGAGACTTCATGTGCCAATCTGGACTTGAAGCTTTTTCTTGCAGGCCACTCTAAATCTGTATTTCTGATAGTCACTTGTTCAGCTATTACTTCCTTACACAAGAGACTCTGTCCCAGTTGTCCCCATTCTTTGAAATAGAATGGTATTTGCATTTACTATTGTCTAAGGTTTTTTCTTCCTTTTCTCTTTTCAGAAGTGGAAAGGGTGGGGGCTTTTGTGTTTGCTAGACCTAGTGGCTTCAAATTTCTTTTCTGCCTGGTTGCCTAGTTTAGTCCTCTATATTAACAACAGTGTTATTCCCTGTGGTGACAGACAGTATTCGGTACTAAAACAGCCTGTCTTGGTCAGGGTTTATATTCCTGCACAAAACATCATGACTAAGAAGCAAGTTGGGGAGGAAAGGGTTGATTTAGCTTACACTTCCAAATTGCTGTTCACTACCAAAGGATGTCAGAACAGGAACTCACACATGGCAGGAACCTGGAGGCAGGAGCTGATGCAGAGGCCATGAAGGGGTGCTGCTTACTGAATTGTTTCCCCTGGCTTGCTCAGCTTGCTTTCTTATAGAACCGAGAACTACCAGCCCAGAGATGGCACCATGCACAATGTGCTAGGCCCTCCCCTCTTGATCACTAATTCAGAAAATGCTTTACAGCTGGATCTCGTGGAGACATTTTCTCAACTGAACCTCCTTTCTCTGTGATAACTCCAGCTTGTGTCAAAATTGACACACAACCAGCCAGTACACAGCCCAACCAACTGCAACAAGGAAGAGGAGAGGAGTCATGAATTGGTTTACTGAAGAGGAAAAAACAAGCTTCCTGGAGCTAGAGAAATGCTTAGTCAAGGAGGAGTAGGAACATACCTTTAGTCCCAGCACTCAGGAGAACGAGGCAGGCAGATCTCTTGAGTTTGAGGCCAGCCTGGTATACAGAGCAAGTTCCAGGACAGCCAGGGCTACACAGAGAAAGTCTGTCTCAAACAAACACACAAACCAAACAAATGCTTGGTATGGTTGCTATAGTGTCACAGTCCTTTAATCCCAGGACTTGACAGAGGCAGATGGATCTCTGTGAGTTTGAGACTAGCCTGGTCTATATACAAGCTGAGGCATCTCTCCAGCCTTTATCTTTAATTTCTAATAACTAATAATATTGCATATATGTCTTTTTACCATTCCTCTCTCTTGTGTGGCAAATGTTTGTTCAAATCCATTGTACAATTTTTACTGCTGGTAGTGGTTTTCTTATTTTTGAGGGCTTTGTTTTGTTTGTTGTAGTTTTTTTTAAAACATAGCAAGATAATATATAACATAAATATCACCATTTTAGTCACTTACCCAAACGAACCTCAAATTTGCCATGCTAGTCCTGAACTCATAATCTTCCTGCCCTAGCCTAAGTGCTGAGCTATAGGGACATGCCATCATTCTTGGCACTGTTTTGTTTGTATGTTTTTGGGGTTTTGAGACAGGGTTTCTCTTGGCTGTTTTGAATCTCTGTAGCCGAGGCTGGCCTTAGAAATCTTCCTGCCTCTCTTCCTGAGTGCTGGGATTAAAGGTATGGGCCACCACTGTCTGGCCTGCATTGTTATTTTGGCTTTTTAGTTTGTTTGTTTTGAGATAGGGTCTTCCCTGTAGCTCAGGCTGGTCTCAAGCTTGAGATTCTCCTGTCTCTACCTCCTAATTGACCATTTTGGTCACTGGTTCTTTTGAGAGTGAGTCCCATGTTTCCCAGGTTGGCTTCAAACGTGTTTTGTAGTGGAGAATGACCTCATACTACAGAGCTTACTGCTGTCACCTCCTGAATGCCAGGATCACAGGTGTGCCGGTGTACCCTGAAACTATTATAAAGTGTGCCCATTACAGGGCACTAGCTATGGTCTAGCCATCCCCCGTGTTTGCTTCCTTTTTCTCATCTAGAGCAAACTTAGCCCATTAAACCTTAACTCCCTGTCTTAGTAAGAATTTTATTGCTATAAAGAGACACCATGATGATGGCAACTCTTATAAAGGAAAACCTTTAACTGGGGCTGGCTTACAGGTTCTCAGTTGACCTTTGTTTCTCTAGCTCTGCATCTTTTATGATGGCTTTGGGCTAGCGAGTTAGCTGACCTGTAATTTTAACTACTTGTATTTAAATTAAGACTTCCTGTTAATACTATTGATTTTAACTAACTTAAAATTCCTTCTTCAATTCTATTCTTTAGGATTCAGAAATGATACATAAATAAATATGTCTAAATTTACAAACATTTTTTTCTCCTGAATTTTGCAGATAAAGCTATCATCGGCACAGAAGATCTTGAAGAGCTGGACAGCAAAAAAAAAAAGAGTAAGTAGTTTTATTCTAATAATTGATTCCCATGTCATGAACATATTAGTTGTTTTTACTCTTTGACTGCTATGGATAAAATTGCTGTGATACTAGTGTTTGAATTTCCATTTTCAGTTGATTTCTGTACCTATAGGTGAAATTGCTGGCTCAGATAGTAATTTTGTATTTAACTTTGTGAGAATCAATCATACCATTTCGCACAGTGGGTCCATCTCGGTAAGTTTGAGGTCAGTCTAGTCTAGAGAGTGAGTTTCTGGACACTAGGGCTGCACAGAGAAACCCTGTCTTGAAAAAAACAAACAAATCCCCTGTGAGGGGTAGGAGAGATGGCTCAATGGTTAAGAGCACCAGCTATTCTTCCAGAGGACCCAGGTTTAAGTCCCAACACCCACATGGTGTTTAACAACCACCTGTGATCCCAGTTCCAGGGGATGTGATCCAGTGTTCTGGTCTCCTCTATCCCCAGGCACACACACACATGTGTAACACGTGCAGGCATATGGTGGTTTAAATGAGAATGGCCCCAGATAGATTCATTTGTCTGAATGCCTGGTCCCTAGTTAACAGAACTGTTTGGGAAGGATTAGGAGGTGGGGCCTTGTTAGAGGAGGCGTGTCACTGGGGAGTGGGCTTTGAGGTTTCAAAGCCCCTGCCAGGCCCAGTGTTGTCCTCTCTGGCTCCTGTCTGAGGATCAGGATGTAGCTCTGAGAGCTACATCTCCAGCATCATGCCTAACTGTGGGCTATCACGGTCCCCACTAGGATGATCATGGATTAACCCTTCGAAGCTGTAAACAAACCCCTAATTGAATGTGTTATAAGTGTCCTTGGTCATGGTGTCTTTTCATAGCTGTGAAATAGTAACTAAGACAAGGCAGAACACACATCTACGTAATTTAAAAAAAAATTCCCTAGAAGATTCCATTTTCTGCTTTTCCTCCCTCCTTAGCCTTGGAGATGGAACCTGCAGTCTTATGTATACTAGGTAAGTGCTTCATCACTCAGCTATAATACCCAACCTTGTGTGTGTGTGTGTGTGTGTGTGTGTGTGTGTGTGTGTGTGTGTGGTGTGTGTGTGTGGTGTGGGTATGTGTGTGGTGTGTGTATGTGATGTGTGTGTGGTATGTGTTGTGTGTGTGTTTGTGTGTGTGTGTGTGTGTGTATGTATGTGTGTGTATGGAGATCCAAGGTTAACCTTGGGTGTCATTCCTCAGGAGCCCATCCATCTTGTTACTGTTGTTATTTTTAAGATTCATTTTTATTTTATGGGTCTGGGTTTCACCTAAGTGTGCTTCTGTGTGTCATGCAGAGGCCAGAAGAGGGCATAAGGTCTGGAACTGGATTTATAGATGGTTGTCAGCCATCTTGTGGGTGATATATGGGAAATGAACCCAGGTTCTTAGAAGAGCAGTCAGTGCTCTTAATCACTGAGCTGTCTCTCCAGTCACCCATCTTGTTTCTTGAGACAAGGTCCCTCATTTGCCTGGAGCTCACTGTATAGGGTAGGCTAGGTTACCTGACCTACAAAGCCCAAGGGTCCATCCATCTATCTGTGCCTGGGATTTCTGGGACTGCTGTCATGTGCTACCATACCTGGCTTTTTATGTAGGTGGATCAAGCTCACGTCTCTGTGCTCGGTGGAGAAGCACTTGACTGAGTTTCCTTAATGAGCCCTTGGCTTTATCCCAAATGCCACATGAAAAACAAACAAACAAACAAACAAACAAAGGATACATATTCTTACATCTCCTTTCCCTCTCTCTCTCCCATAATCATTGGATACAGGATTTCTTGGGCCCTTTCATGTTTTTCTTTTGCAGATCTGTCTGGGAGTGCACTCAGAACCTTGTGCACATGGAGCAGGCTGCCTACACGCACGCGCGCAACATCCCAAGCGCCTGTCGGTCCTTGTCATTTATTTCCAGCTCCAGCTTGTTCTTTGGAGTCTTCTCTTCTGTAGCCAACAAGGCTCATGTATTTTGTTTCTGAACTGACTTTTGCTTCTCAAAAGTCCGTCTCCCTCCCTGTACCCCTCTCTCTGAGGAAGGGTCTCTCTGTATAATAGTCCTGGCTGTCCTTTGTAGATCAGGCTGGCCCTGAACTCAAAGATCCAGCTGCCCTGTGAGTGAGTTACTGGGATAAAGCCATGTGCCACCATGCCAACTTGATCTCATTTTAAAATGTGCCACACCTTTTGAATTTTTTGGTTGTTCACGATTAGCATCTGTCTCCTGTTACTTATTTCTTTTCTCTCTTTTATTTTGTGTCTCTCACCTGACATTTATCTTTCTTGTTTCTTGCATCCTTCTGTTTTATTAATTTTGTAATGTTTATTCTTTCCTTTTTTTTTAACCATAACTGTTCTTTTTGTATTTCTGTGTATGTGTGCAAGCCTGTCTGAATATATATATGTACCTTGTATGTGCAGAAGCCCACAGAGGCCAGAAGAGGGTGTGGCATCCCAGGAACTGGAGTTACAGGTTGTGAGCTGCTGTGTGGGTGCTGGGAACCAAACCAGGTCCTCTGCAAAAGCAGCAAGTGCTCTTCTCTGCTGAGGCATTGCTCCTGTCCCACTGTAACTCCTGCAGACAAGACAGTTTTAGTCTCATAGAAAGATATAAAAGTAACAGAAAGAAAAGAGGTGAGTATTCTGTTGGCAGCCTCCAGATGAAGATGTGGAACTCTCAGCTCCTCCTGCACCATGCCTGCCTGGATGATGCCATGCTCCCACCTTGATGCTAATGGACTGAACCTGTGGACCTGACATTGAAGTGCCTCAGTTTATCACTCCTGTTCCCTATCAGAGTCATCAAGTGGCGAAAGCCAGCTAGTTACAGAAAGTCATAGCTTTCTGTTCCTGACTGTGGATGTGAGGTAACCAATGGCTTCAAGTTTATGCTGCTTTGAATTCCCTGCCATGATGGACTGTACCCATACATGGTCCAGCTCTACCCTCACTTTGAGGCAACTGTTGGAGTTCCTGGTTGAAGAGAACTTGCCTCCTGAATCCTTGCTGTGTCAAAGCCCTGGAATATCATTTCTGGTGAGGACCATGTCCCTTTTCACATCCTTCCTTCTGCTGTATGTGGCAACGGCAGTTTATGCAGAGACCTTAACTGGAGGTGCTCAAAGTACCTGCCCTGTGATTACTGGCAATCCTCCAGGCCTGAATGGCTTGCCAGGCAGAGATGGACGTGACGGTGCCAAAGGAGAAAAGGGAGAAAAGGGAGAACCAGGTCAAGGGCTCAGAGGCTTGCAGGGCCCTCCTGGAAAAGCAGGACCTGCAGGAACCCCGGGGAATCCTGGGTCAAAAGGAGCAGTGGGACCAAAAGGAGACCGTGGAGACAGTGTAGAATTCAATTCAAGGAAAATCGATTCAGAAATTTCAGCCCTGCGATCAGAGTTGAGAGACTTGTGGGATCGTCTCGAGAGTCAAGACATCTGTTATGTTCGATGCCGCCAGAGAAGATGGAGTATACATGGCTTCATTTGAACTTCACACAATGAGTGCTCTAGAAGATAAGCCGGTGTCACCCACCTTTTTACATTTTAGGGGGTTTCTTCTCTCAGATTGAAAATGTTGGAGAAAAGTACTATATCAGAACTCTTGAAAAGTCAAGCTTTGATCATGTGATTGCTCTATGCTCTGAACTCCAGGGCTCTGTAGCCACTCTCAGGGATTTTGAGGAAATCAAGGCCATGGAGAATTTGGCCAGAGGTGGTGCCTATTTGGGCATAACATACGAGAGTACTGAAACGTTTATGTGGATCTGTCAGGAAACAAAGTGGACATTTTGGGGATTTACGGGAGGCTCAAATATCAGGACAACGGGGGAAAATGTGTGGTGGTATATTCATATGACAAGTGGCAAAACGTCCTTTGCACTGATTCCTTTTCTGCAGTCTGTGAATTTTCTTAATGAGGGTGCTTGTGTCTCAGCCCTCCTCGATACTTTAATGTACTTTATAAGTCCACAGTTTGTTCTGAAAAATAAAATATACAATAATATAAACAATTCAACATTGATTACCTAATTAAGCTGTAACACTTTTCCGAATAACGTTCTCCTGTGAAAGTGTAGAAATAAAGTACGTTAGTACGTTTATTTTTCAAAAAAAAAAAGAAAAGAAAAAAGAAAAGAGGTCTGGTATTCCTCACCTACTTTTCTCCAATAGTAATAGCTTGCATGATATAGTCCAGTAGCAAACCCAGGAAACATGTATAAGTCCACAGGCCTTATTCTAATGATTTCTTAGTTTTCCGTATGTTCATGTTGGAACATGGTGTGTGTGTGTGTGTGTGTGTGTGTGTGTGTGAGATGTGTATGTGTGTGTGGTGTGTGTGTATGTGGTGAGTGTGTGTGGTGTGTGTGTGTATGTGTGTGTGTAGTGTGTGTGTGTGTGTGGTGTGTGTGTGGTGTATGTGGTGTGTGTGTGTGTGTAGTATAAACATGGTCTACTATGACCCCTTTACATCCATTCTAAGCAGATGCTCTGTCAGGGACAGGCCTCCAGCTCTCCAGTCCACCCCTCTCTCTGTTCAGCTGTCTTCTCCATATTCAGCACTCTTTATTTTCTCTAGCGGTTGGAGGTTGGCTGCAGATAGACCTAGGAAGAAAGGTGTGACACCTGTGACACTTGCAATCCCAGTTTTTCATTGAGGATCTTGATACAAAAACAAATTGAGGTAATAGTTGTCACGGGAGTGCAACTCCCTCGCTGAACTGGAATTGCCGGCCCGTCCTTTTCTTGCTTCTTAGGGAACAGAGTCACTTACTTTACCAGCCTTCGGCATTTTCTTGCAGTTGATTTAAGGATTCCGATTGTACTGATTTGATGTGACTTCTGGGACAAAGTCACAGCCCACTGCATAGTGTCTCAAGTCTCAGAGTAACCCTGGCCTGAGTGTTGAATGTCCTAATCTATAGCTGGATGCCTTTTTCTTTCTTTAAGACGGCTCAATGACTCTAGCAGCCATTGAGCCACTTTGAGCCTCAG